GCTGTGCGTAGTCCTGTTGGTTCTACCCGGGACGCTGCGGTAGCGTGTCCCAGAGCGGGCGCCACGTAGGGGGATAAACAGTGTATGGTTGGGGTGGGAAGAGTTTCTGATTATGTTTTTGACATAGACTATGCTGCTGCAACGCAAACATTTCCCAAATTAGGATCAATAAAGTATTTCTTATATCTTATCTTAAGATCTTCCAATGCAACTTCTGGAATATCTGCTTTTTGAATAGTTTGTCACATCAGATGTTCTGCCGATACGTGGGGAAAACCAGCCAAAGCAGCCCAGGATGGACTTCAGTAAAGTACAAATAAAGGACTCAATATTTAAGAAAACTTCTTTCTTTCGGGCCCTCTTGTTTTCCAAATAATCATCATTCCCTAATGGTAACCCTAACCCTAATGACTTTATTTGAAGATTTATGAAGGTGAGATTGATTTCTAAATGGTCTTGACGTCATGTTTTTCATTTCTAACCTTTACTTCTATATTATACGTTGTTTCTTTCTGTCGAGTGCGGATGTTTTCCCACTGGGGACGAAACTGTCATATGTATACATGCAAGTTAGGAATTTGCAATCCGGAGATGTATTGTTGGCTTTCATGTTTTCAATCCCTGGGAGGACTTTTTCAGTGTCTTTTTAGAATTCCAGACGGACGTTTTGTCAAAGAAAAGTCAAACATATTCCCTCTTTTCCTCACTTCTTTTGACTCCCTCTCCTCTTCAGACGTGGTCAGAGCTTTGGGAGTCTAGAGAGACGAGTCGAAAGGTAAAAAAATGTGATGTTTGCTCACAGAATATTTATCATATATCTCTGTTGTCAAATACTGGCTTTACACCACTCTGAAGGCTCACAGTCATGCTCAGACGACAGAGTTTATGGACCTCTTAATGCATTACGACTACTTTCCCACCTGTTTAATCTGAGTTTATGAGCTCTGTCATGCAGCTATACGGGGACTCAAGCTAGTGAATAGTGTGTCATGCATACTGACAAACACACACTTGCCAATACCTCTTTTTAATAGTCACACCTGTACCTGTTTTGTTTCGCTAATGCTGCATAATACGCTGTATAATAATAGGAGCACGTACAGCTGCAGGTCACCTTCGCAACAGCTTTTAAAACAGACATTGTAAGACACACAACGACATCCATGGAGACCATTCTTTAACCTTCCTTGGTGGGAATGCTGATTGCTTCGAGGTTTGCTTTTTATTGCTTTTTTCAAATCGCATTTGCTTTTCAGCCGGGATCGTATCCTCGCTGTGAATATCAGAGAGACACAAAGGAGCTAAGTTACAAAAGGACTGCGCTGCTTTTAGGGCCGTAAACTGGACGAATAAGACACAAATAATCAGTTTATTTCTTATTGCAAAGGGTGATGCACCTCTAAATGCACCGCCAAGCCACTAAGGTTTAAATTAAGAAAGTTCACATTTGCCAGAGAAATTGTCCTCTTTCTATGCAAATGAGCCTCGTTTTCAATTCCCAAAGATCAGCACTAATACAAATACAGTGAGAGTTTTATCATCTTTAACGAGTTAGATGGAGCTGAAGCACATGTATTTATTCAAGGAGTGTAACTGTCTGATAAAGTGACTAAATGAGAGGACTAAACGTAATCACTTCCAACATTAGCCGCCTTTAGCTTAGCGGTGGTGACGTGAAGTCATGTGACCGTGCTGTACGTAGTTCCTTTATAGTAAAACGTTAGCCGCTTTTAGCTTAGCGGTGGTGACGTGAAGTCATGTGACCGTGCTGTAGTTCCTTTATAGCCCAACATTAGCCTCCTTTAGCTTAGCGGTGATGACGTGAAGTCATGTGACCGTGCTGTAGTTCCTTTATAGCCCAACATTAGCCACCTTTAGCTTAGCGGTGGTGACGTGAAGTCAAGTGACCGTGCTGTAGTTCCTTTATCGCCCAACATTAGCCTCCTTTAGCTTAGCGGTTGTGACGTGAAGTCATGTGACCGTGCTGTAGTTCCTTTATCGCCCAACATTAGCCTCCTTTAGCTTAGCGGTGGTGACGTGAAGTCATGTGACCGTGCTGTAGTTCCTTTATCGCCCAACATTAGCCTCCTTTAGCTTAGCGGTTGTGACGTGAAGTCATGTGACCGTGCTGTAGTTCCTTTATAGCCCAACATTAGCCACCTTTAGCTTAGCGGTGGAGACGTGAAGTCATGTGTCCGTGCTGTAGTTCCTTTATCGCCCAACATTAGCCTCCTTTAGCTTAGCGGTGAAGTCATGTGACCGTGCTGTAGACCCTTTATAGCCTAACGTAAGCTATTTACTTCAGAAATCATAAAGTGGTGTAAATATGTGGAGATGATCCTGCTGAACAAAACATGTAAGTATCATAAACGTTTCTTCACCAGAGATTGTTTTCTACAATATTCCAAAATCACATGGAGAAATCCCATTGAAAGATGTTGCCTTCAGGGTCGTCCTCTAAAAACATGTCGCCCCTGCACCACTTATTTCCTTTTCTCTCTCTCTACTCTGTCCATCACATGTTCATTAATCCACTAAAAGGCCCCACTAGACCTAAACACAGTGTTTCTGTCCCCTCTCCAAGCATTAGGCTGATTCCAAACATCTCTCCATGTATTTATAAAGTAAATGGAGAGATGTTGTGGATTGATATAAATATATATAAATATCAAACCTGAGCTTTAGTCCTGTGGGTGCCTCACATTATATTGTCACTCCTCTCAAAGCTCTTTAAAGGCTGAGACAGATCTCTTCACACTTCAGTGCTGGGATTTCATGCTACTTGAGTTTGGTGTCGTTCCTCTCAGCCGCCAAACCGACCGAAATAAAAGCTGCTCTTGCCGTGACAGAGCAGTCAGTATCTTGGTGTTAAAGCACTCAATTCCCTCTTTCAGTGTGCCGAAAATACAGAGCAATTACAGTAGGGTGAAGTTCAGTTATTAAAAGTCCAACACCCTACAATCTACTATCAATCTACTGGATGCTAAAGTGTTGAATGCATATGTTTCTCAGTGTTCAAAAATCTTAAACATTTTAAAGTGAGTTGCATGTGTTGCAGGACTGAGCTAAGGATGTTTGAGAAATAAAGTCACGTCTTCAATCAGACATTGTTAATGTGCACGTGAACAGCAGCAGCTCCACCCAAGAGAACAAGTTCTGCAAACCACAACTGAAGTGTCTCCCTACTGAGAAACGTTTAAAATCAATTACAACAACATCATCATAACAGAGACAAATCTATTAGAGGAATAGACTTACTAAAACAGGAAGAGTAGTTCCTCCAATGGTTGATGCAATCCAGTGCATCTGCTGATGAGCGTGTTTGACTCAGAGATGGTTTGTGTTACCTATATTCGTAAGTATGAGGGTCATTCCGGAATTGGAGGACAATTTAGACTCCAACATTTTAGAAAAATGAACCTTTTATTTTATTTTGTTATGTATTTAGGAAAAACAGATAATAAACCATCAAATAAAGTGATTTGCCTAGCTAGGCATCAAATGTATATTTTCCAATGAAGAATTACCCGTTACTCTAATTAAAGTAACAGGGTTGAAAATCAATGCTAATTTGAGCTTTAACCTCAGGAAGTATTGCTAGATGTAGCATGTAATGCTACTTTCAAGGCAAGGACAAACTTGGATATCTAATGCAAGAAAGATAACTTTGAAATGAATATGCTTTATTCTGATCAGTAACAGGGCTGAGTGGGTCAGAGTGCCACACTCTTTTAAGACTGAAAATATTGTAAAAATATGAAAAATAAAAGAGGACTTAGTTGTGGTCTACCCATGGCACTAGGCTTGCTGATGTCACTTCTACTGTGTCATCTGACTTACAGTTGTTTCACTTCCTGTGCCAATCTAAAAAGGTTTGGGTAACAGGGTTGAACGCATGTTGAGTGACACACCTTCTGTGCAAAATTACTGTTATTTAAAATATGTTTATGATTTAACAAATTGATTTTACCATTACAAGAGACATATATCAATATAATAATACCAACAAAAGTAAATAAAATCCCTATTTTAAATGTTATATTTGATGCAAGTTGGTCACCAAGAAGCGGGGACAAGAGAAAAATGCCATTTTAGGGGATGTTCGAGAGCTATTTGATCATTTAAATAATATTTTGAAACCACTTTTTCTACAACTTGATATACATTTTGTCTCAAGACAAGTATGTTTAACACAACAAGTGCATGTTTTAGCATTTTGGGCATGGATGGAATGACCCATACATGTAAAGATACTTAATAATGATATCAATAGCGGGGTTCTGTCCTATGGGGTGAGAAACAACGATGTCAAGGATGAAGAGGACATTTTGAGATCACGTAGTTACTGTATGTTGAGAGAAAAGTGGAAATGTTGAGAATAAAGCTACTCACGCTCCTATTGGCTAGTGCTCCAACACATTGTACGTGATAGGCTAAGGGGCGGGACATCTCTAAGCGGTTGACCAATCACAACAGAGCCGGCCAGCTAACCAATCAGAGCAGACTGGGCTCTGGTTTCAGACAGAGGGTGAAAAGAGGTGCTGCAGCACATGAAAGCATGGAGACATGTCCCAGTAGAGACAGAACAGACCAATGTGAACTGGAAATGAGCAGAATAGGGCTCTTTTTAAGCACAACTGTTATACAGCTAATTCTGGAGACATTCGCTTAGTTTATGATTTCACAATAACGTTTTGACCAAAGTACAGCAAAGTTTAAATTGAATATTTAGCAACATTTAGGCAACAGCGAGGGTTGATAATATTTCTGAATATGTTCAGTGTGTGTTAACAATAAAACAGTGTATCTGCTGCTCTACGTATATGTGATGCATTCACGTGCCTATTTGTGTGTTTTTGCATTTCTATTTCTGTGTGTGTGTGTGTGTGTGTGTGTGTGTGTGTGTGTGTGTGTGTGTGTGTGTGTGTGTGTGTGTGTGTGTGTGTGTGTGTGTGTGTGTGTGTGTGTGTGTGTGTGTGTGTGTGTGTAAACAGTCAGCAGTGAGAATGTGTGAGAGCAGCAGCGTGACAGCTTCCTGTGAGCTGACAACAGGAGATTCTCACTTCTCTTGCTGAACTCTGAAGGAGAACACACTCATACATGGTGAGTAACACACCGTCTCATCTTCACACACACACACACACACACACACACACACACACACACACACACACACACACACACACACACACACACACACACACACACACACACACACACACACACACACACACACACACACACACGCACTGAGCCCAGGTGAAAGCTTATTGATTGATACATGTTTTTAAAGAAAGTCAGGGCGAGAGGACAGGTTCCTCTGAACTGCACACATTTGGGCTGACTTTGAATTTTCTTTTACTCTAATATTGTAAAATACATAATTTCGATATGTATTTGAACATTGCTAAATACAATGTTCAAATGTTTACTTAAACTTCTATTGATTTTTATAAATAGTATTCTATCTTTTACTCCACGTTTTTACTTTAACTTCCTTTGTTCATATACACACGTTTGAATTCTTTTATTTTAAGCTTTTATCGCAAACATTCACTTCAATTATATAAATATATTTTTGTAATTGTATTTCATGTTATCCTTTTATTGCACAGTTGTATTTGTACATATTGTCGTTACCTTTAGTGCACATACAATGCCATTACTTTTTCTTTGTTAACCCTTTCAGCTTTTTAACCATGGAGGCCACCGCCAGGTTCGACTATGAAACTAAGGCTTCAGATGAACTCAGCTTTATGAAGGGAGAGCAGTTGAATGTAAGACACACACACACACACACACACACACACACACACACACACACACACACACACACACACACACACTTAGTTTGGTCTCCTTCTTTGAGTTGTTTCCGTTTTTTAACGTATGAATATCTCTCCGTGTCAAAAGCATTCAAATTGTGCACATCTGAAATGATGCTCGCATTGTTTTCATGTAAATCTTCTACCTCTACCTGTGCGGACATTCTTTCACGCAGCGTGTGAACTGCAGTGTTTGCATGAGCGTGTCACTGCAGCACTTTCTAATGGCAGGTTATGTAAATGTGTTGTGAAAAGCAGAAACATACAAATGGATTTCCTATTTCCCGTGAGAGTCACTGAACCGTCTCGTCTGCTGGGCATCAGGCAGGGTACAAGAGAAACACACATATCAAAGTACATAGCTAATATTGTGACGCAGCAAGGTAGGGATGTGGTGATTAGGGGGATATAGAAAGGAAAGGATGAAGGGATATACAAAGGAAAGGAAGAAGGGATATTGAAAGGAAAGGATGAAGGGATATAGAAAGGAAAGGATGAAGGGATATAGAAAGGAAAGGAAGAAGGGATATTGAAAGGAAAGGATGAAGGGATATAGAAAGGAAAGGATGAAGGGATATACAAAGGAAAGGATGAAGGGATATACAAAGGAAAGGATGAAGGGATATTGAAAGGAAAGGATAAAGGGATATAGAAAGGAAAGGATGAAGGGATATTGAAAGGAAAGGATGAAGAGATATTGAAAGGAAAGGATGAAGGGATATAGAAAGGAAAGGATGAAGGGATATACAAAGGAAAGGATGAAGGGATATTGAAAGGAAAGGATGAAGGGATATAGAAAGGAAAGGATGAAGGGATATAGAAAGGAAAGGAAGAAGGGATATTGAAAGGAAAGGATGAAGGGATATAGAAAGGAAAGGATGAAGGGATATACAAAGGAAAGGATGAAGGGATATTGAAAGGAAAAGATGAAGGGATATAGAAAGGAAAGGATGAAGAGATATAGAAAGGAAAGGATGAAGGGATATAGAAAGGAAAGGATGAAGGGATATTGAAAGGAAAGGATGAAGGGATATAGAAAGGAAAGGATGAAGGGATATACAAAGGAAAGGATGAAGGGATATACAAAGGAAAGGATGAAGGGATATACAAAGGAAAGGATGAAGGGATATACAAAGGAAAGGATGAAGGGATATTGAAAGGAAAGGATGAAGGGAGATAGAAAAGGAAAGGAGGAAGAGATATAGAAAGGAAAGGATGAAGGGATATAGAAAGGAAAGGATGAAGGGATATAGAAAGGCAAGGATGAAGGGATATAGAAAGGAAAGGATGAAGGGATATAGAAAGGAAAGGATGAAGGGATATACAAAGGAAAGGATGAAGGGATGTAGAAAAGAAAGGATGAAGGGATATAGAAAGGAAAGGGTGAAGGGATATAGAAAGGAAAGGATGAAGGGATATAGAAAGGAAAGGGTGAAGGGATATAGAAAGGAAAGGATGAAGGGAGAAAGGAAATGATGAAGGGAGAAAGGAAAGGATGAAGGGATATAGAAAGGAAAGGGTGAAGGGATATAGAAAGGAAAGGATGAAGGGATATAGAAAGGAAAGGGTGAAGGGATATAGAAAGGAAAGGATGAAGGGAGAAAGGAAATGATGAAGGGAGAAAGGAAAGGATGAAGGGATATAGAAAGGAAAGGGTGAAGGGATGAAAGTGGAT